GATACGGCTAAAACACTATGGTTTATAAACGAACCTTTTGGAAATGTCCAACATGAGTTGTGTTTTCAACAAGATGAGCTGCTTTCCCAAAAAAAGTATGAACTCCAGTTGCAATCACAATGCCTTCAATCTCTCCTTGTTTACATGTAGAACCCGAGTAAACACCATCTCCTGGATTCTTAGTCACCGGAAGTGATTCTCCGGTGAGTGCAGACTATAAATATGTTAAAACAAATTGTATAAAAAAATCTAAAAATTTAGTGTGAATGAGATTAGTGTTTTAGAATGGAAAGATACCTGATCAATCTTGAGAGGATCACCTTCTAGAAGACGAGCATCAGCAGGAACAATGTCTCCAAGTTTGATACTGATAATATCACCGGGAACCAAAACACAAGCATCTTCTTCACTCCATTTTCCATCACGAAGAACCTACAAGATTTCAGAAACCGAATCAAGATTGATATTTTATAAAAACAAAAAAATGGATAAGTTCTAAATGCAAGAAACATCAATTTACTTTCAAATATTTGTAAAGTAAAGCATTTTACTTTCATTTCATTCTATTACACCATTTCACTTTCAATCTTTCTTTTGGCGCATTGTACCTCCAATTTTTTTCTCATTAGGACATTATACTTTAAAATTTTAGCCGATTATGGACGTGATAATTGTTTTGTATATAGATTTCATTGCTATAATCATGTAGATATATTAGGAAGAAATGAAAGCATAATGCTATAACAGATAAATTAATAAAAGTACATTGCTAATTTTTTTTCATTTAACTAATGAGTAATCAAGTGGAGATGAACCTTTGCTTTTGGAGCTAAACGAGCCATGAGAGCAGCAGCTGCATTTCCAGCATTGTTTTCCTCAATGAAACTTATCGTTGAATTAATAATTAGCAAAACAATGATCCCCACAAAATCATGATAATCAGCAGGCTTGTTCTGAATTATAAATCAAGAGTCATATGATTATTTAACAAGAAAAAGGAAGAACTACAATCGAATAATAAAATGAAAGAACAAAAAAAGACAGATTTACCCCTCCACGAGCAAGCGCGATAGACATAATAGCTGCGGCTTCCATCACCCACGAGAGTGGATTCCACATAAAACCCAAAAACTTCAAGATTTTACTTTCCTGTTGAGAGAAATTTTTTTTTTTAAAAAAAAAAAGACATAAAAATCTATCTTTTTTGGCAAGAAACCCGCTTATAAAAAATCTTTAAAATACCTTTTTTTCTTCAAGTTTATTGTACCCAAAAAGATCCAAACGTTCTTGAACTTCATTTGAGTTTAAACCTTCTCTTGTGCATTTCAGATGTTGAAACACTTCTTCTAATGGTGCATTCTCCTGAAAAAAAAAAAATAAACAAAGTATTTGAATATTTTCTGTGATCAAAGCATAGAAATATGGGCGAAATGCAAGAAACAGCAATATACTTCCATTTAAATGTTTAATATAGCAACCCACATTATAATTTCAACTTTTTTTCTTTTCAATAAATTGTACTTTGAAAAGACTACCAATTATAGCACTGAAAAATTGTTTTGTATTTGGATGATATTGCTATAATTATTTGGTAGATATTTCAAAGTACAATGTTGTAAATTGTAATAAAAGTAAATGAAATTAGGATGCTATAATAAACAAATAAATATCAAGTTTTCATGTGTAAAAGCTAAGAAATACCAAATCAATGGCTTCTCGGATAACTGCACTAAGAGCAATCGACTTGTCATCCATTTTTTCAGCTTTGATTCTTCACCAATGAATCTGCATTATTGTGCAAAAAAGCTTAAACATCTTTTCATTTTCTTTTTATAAACTCTTGATAATTTATCTAACTTTTGGGGGATAATGATCAAAAAGATATATCCAACCCAAAAGAACTTGAATCTCTGTATATCATTGTTAACAAATTCTTAAACCATTGTTTGATTTTGTGGTTATATTTTTAAATCTGTGTGTTTTTCTGGATAGATTAGAAATTCCGTACACTGTTTGTCCATTTCACATGATAATAATTAACAAAATTTACCTAGATGAAGACAGCTTCGATCTTTTGTCTTTTAATAAAAATTTAAATCATGTTTTTGGATCTTGTGTTTTCTGGATAAATTCATGAAATTTTATCATATGATAATAATAGAAAAAGTTTATAGCTGGATGAACATAAGCCTTGAATCTTTGCCTACTTTACATGATAATTATCTACATAATATAGCAAAATGACTTGAATCTATTTATTATCATAGTTTCAACTTCTCATTTAACCTTTCTAATCACCCATTAAGTAACCCACATTAGTTATATTTATACGTTCTTGTTACTAGGTCTTATGAGTCAAATTTGTTATATATTTTGAACCTCAAAATCGAAGACATTCATTGTTTGAATTAAAAAATAAATCAATAACCATATTAACCTACAAGATTAAATATCATTAACATAAATAAGAAGAACAATGTCATTAAGCCAATGGAAATTACATCAACTCTTATTCGCTATTTGTGGTAAGATAAAAGAAATAATGTAACAAAAAACATAAATATGATTACAAAGAAAGACAGAAAGAGACCTGAGAAGCTTAGTAGATGAGGTTTTTTGACATGGAAATCGTTACAAAAACTTGAAATAATTTGTAGTCTTGAAGTGGGAATGAATGAATGAATGAATGTGTGTTATGTTTGTTTTGAAGCAGGTGAACTATATATACACCCATATGTTTCTTGTTTCCATCCCATTAATTCAATTTAATAAAAAAAACATATATCTTATTCTGTATAATGTTTTAAATCTTGACAACAAAATCAATAACTATATAATATATATAATATTAATAACCGGCTTTTACTTTCATAGTTTCATCAATTAATTGCATAATTTTTATTCTTTTAACCAAATTATGTGACATAAATGTTAGATAATGTATTTTTTTTTTACATTGCTTAAGATTGACCATATTATACATAAAGATTTATTATCTAAAGTGATTATTATATGTATGCATCTAACCATTTTAGTAACATTTTCAAAAGAAAAAAATTATTAAAACCTCAATAATTATTCCTAATTTATGTTAATTAAGTAAATATAATATAACTAATATAACTTTATGTACTGATAATTTCTTTAGAAAATATATATCAATTAAAAAAATAATATGAAATATATTCATTTTTGTTTTTGTATTTTATATAGAGTGAATAGTGACAGATGGCCGTACATGTACTTTATTTTAAGAGGGAATCCAAGTTCCGGTCTTCCGGAAAGCCGGCTTAACTATTAAAAAACACAGTAACGACCGGTTCGGGAAATGCCGGTTTTTGTATTTGGCGCCATTTGACAACCCTTAGAATGTAACGATTCTTTCGGAGATTACAATGCTTTTTTTTTTGGCCCCACATTATTATAATTGGTCCAATTTGGCCCTCTAACTTCATTAGTTTTGTTATTTGTTTGTTATTAGTAATTTAGTATACGTTTCTTGACATTATTTGTTTGGTCATATGTTATATGAAAATGCTTTCGGTTTTATTTTGGGAATATTATGTTTTAAGAAAATAGAATTTAGTTTAGTCACATGTGATTGTTTGATATGATTTGAAAGAACTATAGAAGGATTATTTTTTTAGTGGTATGTTTTTTTATGATTGTAATTAAGCTCAACAATATGGATATTTTCGGCTAGAAATTATTAAACATCTTGATATGAAAATGATGGGTTTTTACAATAAAATACAATTTGAAAGAGTGTAGTGTTAGAATGTTTTTTTGGTGGTAATCAAGTATTTAGAAGAAATCAACAAGAAGAAGAAAAAAAAACTAAATTGTTTAAATATGTAATAAACCTTTTAGAAACCTCTCATTGAAAATGATCTAATACTTGTGCTTAAAATTTTAAAGCTAAGCTGTAGCTTTTAAACTTCAACAAAAAGTTTAAAATGATTTTAAAAATAATAATTAAAACGACATAGTATTATTCGCATAGAACATTTGTTCATTTCCTAAATATTCTTTGCATATATCCTTACTATTAATACTTAACAAAAATTAATATATATTTAGATTTTAGATTTCTATAAAACATTCCCAATCACTTGTTCTAATTTTATTGATGTCAATCAACATAAAAAAGTAGTTATTAGATAATGCAGAACCAAGATAAATAGAAAATTAAGTGATACAACTTATCTAATTTTGTTTTTCAAATACAAATCAAACTTGAAATACATACTTTTGAAAAATCCAATTAGTACACAAGGAAAAAAAACAGTTTAGAAATTAAGCGTCTTTTCAAAAGTTTGAAACTTTCATGTTCAGTTGAAATGTTGAGTCATTCAAATGTACATGCATTTGATGTGTTTTGTTTTTGGAATATATCAAAGTTTTTAAACATATTGGAATCTTAATTGCCAATCTCTATTAGTAACATATATTTTACAATAAAAAAAAAAAAAAAAAAAAAAAAAAAAAAAAAAAAAGAGAAAGAAGTTAAAGGACCATTGAGTCAACGACCAAAAAGAAAGAGGGTTATTCCAAAATGTTTATAATGATTTTTGAGATAAGATAAAAGGATATAAAAAATTTCTTAAAGAGTATTTGTTCATTTTATAAATATTCTTTCAGTATCTTATTATTTATACTTAACAAAATAAATATTTAGATTTTAGATTTCTATAAGTATATCTCAATGACTTTAATTAAATTTAAATGGATACAACAACATTCTCCTAGAATATTTGTTCTTTTCTCTACTTTTGAACTTCTATAGTTTATGTCTCATACGCGTATCATCACACTTGTGGCCTTTACATAAACGCATCCCATTAAGAGACATTGAAAAGTTCAAAACTGACCAATAATTTAAAAAAAACAAAATACAAAAACATGATCTTATTTTTAGAGATATGATTATTGATCCATTAAATTGTATGTAGATATAAAAAAAACTACAAAAACATGCATAAATTCACAAAATAAACTTCATAATTTTCAACACATTCATTATTGATTTAACATTTAGGATCACATTATAAATATATTCACAAATCACCTATCTCCAACTTCTTTACACAAGTCAAGTCACTAATCTAATACACAGTCCAGCTGACAGTGTAAGAGTTTCATTTCCAATATGGATTGGTCCTGATACCTGATTTAAATTTAAATCACATGATACTAAACGCATTTGGAAAATCTAAGGTTTATGGTTTAAGGTTTTTAGGAGAGTCAACTTATATCCATTTTTTCAATTACTTCAAAATGCATTTGCATATTCGCGTGGTTATTCGCAAAATAAAACCTTTCACAAACCATCAACTTTTCATCACTTTTTTTACATACATCATTTAGCAGACGAATCATGGTGTCTTTTTCATTCCCAATCCAAACCCTCATACTATCACGCCATTGTCTCGGTGTCCCATGAAGAACAAAACGTAAACGTAGGCCCACTTCCAACACACGTTTAGAGATTTTTTCAATCACATTTTGGTCATTAATGTATGCTCCATTAGAGTTTAAACCAACATCTATATAATGGATTTCGGTTACACTGTTTAGAAGGGTTTCCTTTGAAGTTGGTATAATTTCATTCTTGTTTTGGGAATGGGAGGGGATTGTGACTTGTGAGAATGCAAGTTCGGTGACTAGTTGGTTAATTATCGTTCCGCCCTTGCTAAATCCAAAAAGATATGTTTTTGGTTGTGAAAAACATGAAATTGGAGGTTCTGTTGAAATTGGTTCTACAACTTTACTTGAAAGAATATTTTTCGCCTGAAAATAAGGAGGAAAAATAGTGATCCTCTGAAGTACAAAAATAAATTTGACATGACATGACAGATTGTATATTGTTTGGTGTGCATTGGACTGGAACTTAGACTAGGGTTGATGTTAATGGGACAAATAGTGAAATATTTTGTCGGTAAAAAAGACATAAATGCCCTTGTCATCCAAATCATCGAAGATAGCCCCAGAAAACTTGTCTAGGAATGAAAATATGAAATGACAAAGGAATTGAATGGGCCGAGTAAAATTATAAGGAGAGTAATGGAATGAGTTATTACAATCCATAAATATTTTTTCTACAATTTTTTTTTTTTTTGTTATATGTAAATATATGGTATAGTTTTAAATTTACTCTATATGTTTATTATAGTTGATGGAAGAAATAAAGTATAAACATAATAAAATATCATTAAACCAAAATTAGATTTATAAGTTATAGCGAAAAATATATAGTTAACTTTAGAAAATAAAATTATAATTTACTTTAAATGATAAAAAAATGCTGAAAAAATTTCATGGCCTGTAAATTTTAATACATAAAAAGGGTTTATATACAATAAAAGCTCATTAAACACTAATAAAATGATAAGTTATAACAAAAGTATATAGTTAACTTTAGAAAATAAAACAGTAATTTAATTAAAATGATAAACATTTCTGAAAAAGTTTCCCGGCCTTTAAGTTTAATACATAAAAAAGGGTTTATATACAATAAAAGCTCATTAAACACTAATAAGATTATAAGTTACAACAAAATATATATAGTTAACTTTAGAAAAAAAAATTGTAATTTAATTAAAATGATAAAAATTTCTGAAAAATTTTCATAGCCTTTAAGTTTAATTCATAAAAAAGGGTTTATATACAATAAATTCTCATTAAACCCTAATAAGATTATAAGTTATAACAAAATATATATAGTTAACTTTAGAAAATAAAATTTTAATTTAATTAAAACGATAGAAATTTGAGAAAAAGTTTCATGGCCTTTAAGCTTTAATACATAAAAAAAAGGTTTATATACAATTTCTCATTCCATTCCATAATGGAATGGAAAAAGGAAAAATCCTCTCAACAAAATGGAAGGAAAAGAATGGTCCATTCCATTCCATCAAGCAAAACAAGCAGCTTTTTCTCATTCCAACAGAATGAACCATTCCATTCCCTCTCCAATCCCACCATAACTAACTCGATTTTCCATTATCATTAACCACAACAAAAATTAAAAAATATAAATACTTTTAAAAGTTATTATTACCTCTGTGAGACAACTTGAGAGGAGTGAAACAAGGGAATTAGAAGCAGGAAATCCAGTTGGATCATATGATGTTGGTTCTCCCCATTTGTTCACTGAAGGAATAAAATCTTTATAAACAGCAAAAGGTCCATTAAACTTTGAAGCTTCAATAACCCAAACATTAACATTTTCACCAAGTTTTGAAACCATTATTTCACCAATCTTTTCAAGATCTGAAAGCCTTTCAATCACTGGATTCCCAGTGCCTTTCACTCTATCCCCATTGAAAAATATAGCATTCATTGAAGGCACCTACATACGCCACATCAGCAAAAAAAAAAATCTAAAAGTTTAATTCGTATTTTGAACAAGCATACTAGAGATTTTTCATTGCAATCAAACCATTTTCCTCTAGAAAGTTTGTTAGTAATAGTATGCAAAAAAAGGGTAATTTTGGAAATTCCAAAATGTGAAAATGTAAGTGAGACTATAAGTTTGTGGTGTTTTGGATTTTGATAGACTTACAATTGGGATTTGAGAAGAAGATGAAATACAAAGAGATGCTGCTACTTTGTAGAGACCTCTGCTTCCTTTGAACAAAGGTACCTTCAATATTCCACTCCATCGGTCCATGAAAGTTGACTTTGACCTAGAAGATGATATTAGTAAAAAAAATTAGAGGTTTTTATAAATTTTGATAAAAAAAAATAAGATAATTAATAAATTTTTGATAGTTTTACAAATTGGTGAAGAACTTGTTCCATTTGAATGCCAACACCACAATCTGAAAACCATTGTGTACATTTGTTTTGTATTCATAACAAAATCATATGATTTATTTATATTTTCATAAAGGGTATTTCTTTCTTAACTAGGAATCAATGTAGAACGATTTATGAAACCACAAAAACCATGAGAAAGTAGTTTTATTAAAATAAGCATAAAAAAAGAAGGGATAAAATGGTAAATTTACAGTGTTCATGGCTAATAAGAACTTTTCACCTTTTGACGCCATGAATTTGTTATGCAATCCTACTTTTGTTATCTATCAAAGTGATATAGATCCATATCAGTTACAAATGTAACTTTTAATAGTCAAATCTTGATTCAAAATATGAACTTGTGCGCATGATGTTCTTGAATTAACATCAAGTAACTATATGAAAAGTAAAACCATAGAAAAAGTTGCTCACGAGATCCCAAAATTCAAAACGTTTTAACAAACTTGTTGATTTTAATTTTTAACACATACACCTCTTCTTCGAGCTAATGCAAATTGAGTAATCTTTCATAAGTCTCAATACACTTCAGAGTAACAGTAAAACTGAGTGAAAAATAAACAATTCCTCTAATTGATTATAACATCATTCACCCACAATTAGTAGTGGTCACCAATGGTGATAATAAATTAAAGCACAATTCCTTCGAGTGAAACGATATTCGCTACTGTAGTGAAGAAACATAATTAAGAAGCGGGTGAACGCCAAAACAACAACAAAATCAGACTTAAATTCACAAACGAGTGTCGAGTTAACCCTACGCACAATTAACCAGAAAGAAACGGAAAGGGAGATGATTACCAGAGCAGGTTGAGAAGAAGACCCGAATAACAAAGATCGCTTGCTTAAACCAAGATCTTCAGAAACTGAGAATTGACCCTGTATCCCCCTTTTTTGCCCCACCTCCTGTTCGATTTGGAAAGACTGTAGTTTTGCCCTTTACTTTTGGCCCATGAAGTTTAAAAGTTTTCAGTTAGACCACCATGGCTTCCATATCTAACGAGAGAAACTTGGAGAATATCGCAAAAACCTCCACAACAAAAAAAAGGTTAACAACTTCAAAAAATTATGACAAAATTTCAGAAATAGTATGTGTGGTTTACCAAATATCGAAATTTTGGTCAAAAATTTTGATTTGTATCAATTTGGTTTTCGTGGTTTCTATTTTTTTCAATATTGGTTCTGACCACTAACCCCGTCTAAATTGAAATGTCAACGGGCATCACATGTTTTGCACAAGAGGGTATTTTCATCCCAATTGTTTTTTTTTTTCTCCTTGGGGTTGTATTTTACCACCATTACAATCTTAGTTATGGTCTAGTTTTCATTATTTACCCCAAAATGACAGTTAACAAAATCCAAGAAACCATTTACCTCTTTTATCAACTTAAGAGGCTCATTACCCCTAACACGTTCATGCTTCCAAGACGATCAATACATGAAGAAGAAGAATAAGTGAGATACAACCGTAATGGATCCTAAAGTTGTTTATGGTAAGTAAATATAGTATTTTGTTTATGATTATAAAACATGATATACACCATTTTCTAATTCATCATTTTCTTTAACAAATTTTCAGAAGGATACAAAGACCTTTTTACCATGCTTATACGTCATGGGGAAGTTCACTAACATTTCATGGAGGAGATACGCCAATGGTAGGAATATATATATATATATATATATATATATATATATATATATATATATATATATATAGAGAGAGAGAGAGAGAGAGAGAGGTTGGTTCAAATGTTTCTAGCAATTATTGTGTGCATGAATGCACCAATAGGAATTTAGGAAAAAATAAATCATAAAATAAATCATTTAAGGGTATTATTGTAATCTTTGCATAGTTAATTATGGTAGATAATTAATATTCCTGATATCAAGCAATAAGCAAAGATAAATTTACAACATTAGCCCTAAATAGAACTCACCATCCTTTCTGATCCACCGCTTCTGCTTCTTCTTCTACAATCGATCATCAAGAATCAAACCCTAAATCACGAAAATCCTCATAACCACCGTTTTCTCCAAATACGCACGTACACCCTCATCTACCAAATCTGTGATTCGTCTCCGTGAATACCATCAGACGTAGCCACTGACGACGCCATCCTTCGTCCTCATAGCCACCGCCGCTGACTTATTATTTCCCTATACCGGCCAACAACACATCAAAACCAAGGTATGTGCTCGTTTTTTAGAGTGAATCGAGGAAAAAAACCATCGCCTAATTGTAATTTCTAAAGAGAATAGAAAATGGGGGATTAGAGACGTTGCTGATCACACAAAAATGAAGAATCATATACCCTCTCTTCTAATAAATTAAAAATCTCATCTCCACTTTTCCTTTGATAAAATCACCGCCGACTAGTCAAAGGTGAGTTATTTTTTGTTTTCCCTTCAACGCGTCTCAATTATTTATTGGTTTATCCCAATTCCAATATATGTGATATAAATTTATTTGAGTTTTGTTGTGTGCACAAAATGAATACTAGATAATTACTGTTAAAAGATCTTTAATTAGGTATCACGAGTAATACACCCACACCTCCCTTTTGATTTACACATGTAACATTCTTAATTTTTGGTATATGAGATTATTAAATGATAGAATCTAATTGGGAAAATATGTAATGTCAAATGATATTGATCATCATTGATTTTTTTTTGTTTGACTAATTGTAAGTAATATATTTTAATGACCTTTCATGAGCAACTAAGGTAATTGGGAGCATTTGGAGCAAAGCGGTATGCATTAATTATGATTTGGAATTAAGTATTTGGATACATTATATGAAATCATTTTTATATTATGGAATCCAAAATAGATTCATGATGTTTATATACTAATGAGTATCGACTATATTGTTATTACAAAGAGAATTATGGTTAAAAAATTCTGAATTTGATGAATATCAATTATGTGGCATATATGTGGTGGCTAGTTGTATGACAATATGTTAAACTTGTACTTTGATTCATTCATTAGCTTACCCAACAAATATAGTGTTACATGTTGTCATTGTTGCTGTTAATCTCTTGTTAAGAATCTTCACAGCCATTCTGAAAGAATATTTACACAATCATTCTTGCAGAATATTTACATAATCAATCATTTTTGCAGGATATTTACAGAATGCAGAATGCTTAAAGAACATACAATCACATACAAGAGATGGTGAGCCTCGATTAACATAATTCTCACAGAATGTTATTCTTATATAATTTGATTTTCATGGCAGATATTCTCATAGAATGCTAGACTTCATGGCAGTTATTCTCATAAAATCTTAGTTAATTATTTATATGTTTAATTTGTAGTTGTTACACATGTATCACCACAAAATATTTAGCAATGCATTTGTGAGGAATGACTTGAAGAATGGCTTCAAGACCTGATAGGTATGACTTGAAGAATGAATCAAAGATTGATCACACTCAGAGTTTAAGAATGTTGTTATTTTTTAAGAATTACATTTTTTATTCTTTGAGAATGTTATTATTCAAGAATGTTTTTTGTATCACAATAATACAATGTAATTATTTGATGTATTATTAGTTCAAGAATCGATTTTGTGTATTATTTCATAATGTATTTATTCATGTTTTCTTTTTATATATGTTTTCTTAAATGATGTTATAAACTATCATTCTAACAGAATGTCACAGAACTTCATTTTGTTAATGTCAATTTTGTGTATTCTTTCAGAATGTATTTACTAGTTTATGGTTGGCATTCTGTCATTCTGACAGAATAAAATCGAAAAATATATTTACTAGTTTATGGTTGGCATTCTATCATTCTAACATAATAAAATCGGATTTTTAAATTTGAATTAATTTAAAATATTCAAATTTTTAAAAATAAAGGAATTAACTATCCCTAAAAATCCGAAAATTTCCTTTTTTGATATAGGTTAATTGACTAAAATGCCCTTATGCTGAAATTTGTGTGATAATATGGTACATGTTATCCTATTCTAATATCATAGACCCTCAGATCATGACATTTGATACTATTTCATCCGGTGGTCCAGATCTGTGCATTCTGGCACACAATAGTTAGTAAAAACAAAATAAGCTAAGCCTATATATATATATATATATATATATATATATATATATATATATATATATATATATATATATATATATATGAATTTTTAATACATGAGTTAGATGCATAGTATAGGAATTAGGTTATGAACCCGCAAGTTTGAAATGATATACTACTACTTTCTCATACCTAATATCAAGATAGATTATGTTACTCCCACTAGGTAATGATTAGTATGTCATTGCGTTGCCAAAGTTATGTTGTTTATAACAAGGAAATATGTGTGTATACTACATGGAAGCGCCACTTGTCACGTATATTTTAAGTCTCCAAGTAAAGTCATTCTAGATGAAATACAAGTTCAAGATCACTATATATTGAGCAAATGGTAACCCCACAATGGTCTAGATCACTAAAGAAACATTAGAAACCAAAACAAAACAATTTTGATGAAAAAAAATTCAGATTTAGCTCCATGAAAAAACCCTAGATCGAAAATTAAATGGCAATGGAAGTGGTTATGCCTTTTAAGCTTCATGTTGAAACCCTATCTCCATCATCATCAATTTAACCTTAGATCTTCATTTAGTCCACTAAAATCGCCAATTCTCTCCATCTTCACAATTAGGGCATGTTCGACAAAGAGAGTTTGGGAGTGTCTGAGAGCTTCTAGCTTCTAACGTTTAACAAAACGATTCATTTTGAATAGAAAGCCTTGTTTGGCATTACAAGTTTCTAGCGTTTAGTTTAAACAAAATGCTTCAAATTCAAATGTTACTTCATGTAGCGTTTAACAAAACGCTACAAGCTACAAACTACATGCTACTCGCTACTACCCGCTGCCAGCTAATTTTGCCGAACACACCCTTATATTCGATTTGGAGAAAATGAGAGGAGAGAAAAAGGGTCTAGCTTCTTATCTTTCATCATTTGTCACAAATAAACCCCAAGTTTCGTCCATTATAATTAGACCACCTTAATATTTTGGACTTTTAGTGAAAGTATTGAAATTTACAATTAAGCCCAAAACTCATACCCTTAAATTAAACGGTGATGGTGATTCATCATGTCAACACTACCCTTATAAGTTTTACAATAAGGCAACTTTATTTCCATGCTCTATAATTTCTTCAAAAATCCAATTGTTTATTCTAATCTTATTATGTCATCATAAAATCGCCATATGACTATTATTTATTTTATTTTTATCATTTTTATTATCAATGTATATTTATTTTGGTTTATTATAATTTAAATTTTTCTTAAAATGGCCAAAAGTTGTAGGCCCAATTTCAAGATGTTACACTGAGGTGGTCGCATGGTGGGTGAGGAGTATACCTCACAGCCTAAGATAACTTGTCAAGTATGCATTTATAAGTGTTTACTTTTTTACAGATGTGTTGAACAATTTTTGAGAAATTTAATTATTTTTCTTGAGAATTTACAAAAATTAAAGAGAAAAGTAGCATTTTTTTTTCTAAATTAACCATATACTTCCTAGGGCACCCTACAAAAATGGAAATTAATATGCAGATGTGGTCCACCATATTTAAGCAAAAAAAAAAAAAAATAGGTTGAGCTTATTTTTCCTTTTTTAATTGCATAATAGTGAAAAATGTCCCCAACTCGTGATATTTGAATATGACAAGAGGTCGGATAAACATATTCGAGTAAGTTTTTCCTATGTTAATAATTTAAATTTGCATTAACGTTTAGTGTTTTTAAGGATTATAAACATTTTTGGAGTTAATGATCTTAAGCTCAAAACAAGAAGCTAATAAGTTGTTGAATTAGAAAGACATAATACATAAACAGACAATAAGCATGCATAAATAAGAAAAGATCAATATGTACAAGAATATAGTTATATTGTAACTTGATGATAATATAATTATGAATGAGTATGTGCACTACTTACAACTGAATACATAACATTTATTTATATATGGAGACTAAGTAAGGTATGCTAGAGACATGACATAGATAGAAGGTATGATATAACCTTAACTACTACCAAATCCAACTGATACACATATATACCTAACTCTAGTATCTTAATACATGTCAAGGTATACTAGAGACATGACATAGATAGAAGGTATGGCCACAAGCTTCACTTCGCACTCCATCTATTCGCTTCTCTAATATGTGATTTGTTTCTCATCTTTATGCTTCCCTTATTCTCAACTCTTTAGGGATGCTTTTCTATTGGTTCGCTTCAAGTATCAACAATATCCCTAAGTGATCATTAATGATAATGTGAGATGTTGTATGGGAAAGAGCTATGGAATTTTTCATTTGTGATTTCTATATTTCCTGTAGCATATGAAGGCCGACTTCCACATTGATTTCAACTATGATAGAATTAGAAAACTGTAAAACATGAAAGTTGTAGATTTCTCCTTTTTTTTTTTTGCAAAAATTTGAATCATGTAACATCCCAAAAGTCATGACCAAAAATTTCATTTTTAAATCATTAATTATCAAATCATTTCATCCATAAACAAAAGTTGACATATCAATTCAGAGTATCATCTCAAAACATATTCTTTTTATCAGAGTAAAAACATCCCAGGCTAAAACTTCTTGGTGTGTGCCATGCGATCATCCCAAGCTCTTCCCTCCGCTACCGGAAGTACCTGAAACCAAAACTGAAAACCGTAAGCACGAAGCTTAGTGAGTTCCCCATACTACCACATACCATGCACATAACCACATACTGGGCCCTCGCCCGCTGCATCGGGACTAGTCCCGGCATCGGACTCTCTCCGGTATCGGGCCCCGCCCGGCATCAGGCCCCGCCTGGCATCGAGCCCCGCCCGGTATAGATCTGTCTCTCATAGGTCCCGCCTGCCTCTTGGCCTCGCCTAATATACACCTACAAACATATAACATACTAGCACATAAGGTAACATACTCTACTGTACTCCTGTTCTAAGGCCTCGTCCCTGTTCTGCTACTGATGAGTCGTGGAACCCCGTCCACACTCGGCTAGTGGTGAGATATGTGACCTCGCCCACACTCACCTCCCTACCAGGAACATACATGTATCAC